CACAGTACGAGAAGCCGACCGGCGGCGGCCAGTCAAACATCACGACCGAGCCGAGCCTGGTCCACGCGTGTGGGTTCGAGAAGAGGGTGGGTACTCCCGTCCTCTTGAAGTCTGGGGTGGAGAGCGAGTTCTCGTTGAGGAGGAGTGGGCCGAGCTCCGCGAGCAGGCCAAACATGGACGAGGCGCCCGGGCCGCCATTGGTCCAGAGGATCGTGGGATCGGCGCCCGCGTCCAGCTGCTCCTCTTTCTCGATAAATACGTAGTGGACGTGCATCGGCATGGGCTGCTTGGCGGCAGCGCCCACGTCGATGTAGCCAGAGTACATGCGGCTCGGAAGCGGGCCGCCCCAGCCCGGGAGGGAGGAGATCTCGTGCTCCGCGGGCGCCGCGAGGGTGCTGAGGGCGGACAGCATCATGTCGGCGTTCTTGCGCTGTAGCAAGCTTGAAAGAATTTAAAGGCCAAGGTGGGCCCTATTGAAAAGACCCCGATTTTGAGGGGTGTCGGACAAGCTAAGCTCAAGCGCGCTGTCGCTGCCCGAGTTGTGGTCACGTCCCCGAAATCTTCGCCGGCCAAGCCCAGCCTCTCGGCGGTCGAGTTGGTCGAGCTGGCGGGCGGAGAGCCGCCAAGAGGGCAGCAGCGGAGCGTGAGAGGCCGTGCGAGCTTGCGCTAGCGAAGCGCTAGCGCTTCGGGCGATTTCAATAGGCGGCCTACCTTGGCCTTTAAACAAGACAACTCCCCTCACAGCACACAGGCTCGACACAGGTGCGAACTGGCGCGTGCTAGTACTATCACCGGCTTGAAAGAATGTTACAACAAAACTCCGTGCTGACACAAAGAAGCGCGCTTCTCCCACCCCTCGTTTGGCGTGTCCGTTGTATTTATTTATTTATACAAAGAAGCGCGCGCCCCACGAGTACATCAGACCAAGAATTCTTGCACGCGTCGGCTTGAAGCCCTGCATATGAAAATGCGTGCCATGACCCGCCCACACTTTCCTCTCCACGAACTACCTCAACAACATACCTAAAACCTCAATCGGAGCCGGCCGCCTAGGGGTCGGCCCGCGCACGTTCCGCGAGGAACAGGAGGCCTCTCCCCCTCCCCCGGCCTGAGCAGCTACGGGTGGAAGGCAGCCCCTTGAGTCGAGGGCGGCGCGACCATTGCCGCTCTCCAATGATCAGAGACCCGGTAA